TGGAGAATATTACCCTAGAATCTCGCATTGGTTCTCGATCCCTCCTCTCCAAACCGAGCACTAGCATACGTGCATACGTTTTATTTTTTTATCCTTCATTTATTTTTTCTTTTAGTGGCTTGTCACGCCACTCTTCTCTATTAAGATTAGGCGACCCACTTAGACGTGTGATCGCAACACGACGTGTGCGTAGCATGATCCGAGGGGTCACTCAATTTTCTATTTTAAGCTTTGGGTTGATAGCCTTAAACTTTTAGTCGAAAATTGAGAATTTTTGATAGATTCACTCAGACATGTAGCCATGACACGACGTGTGCGTAGCTGTGTCTGGGGGATCGCTCGAGCCACCGACAAAGAATCTTGGGATTGATGACTTTTGGTTTCCAAGTCTGAAGGCTCGGGGACCTAAAACATATCGAATCTAGATGCATTAGTGAGCTGATACCTCATGCATCCATGATAGTTTACCTAGAATAGAGTCTATCTTACCCTATTACGGACACTCTTCACGAGGGGAGGGATCCAACTCCTCTTTTTCTTTTATTGTTTTATCTTGTGTATTGCTTTGCTACAATGTGTTATGTGAATTTATCTGATTGAACTAACTTTTCTTGATTTTTGTCTCCATTGCATTTATAAACCTTAGAAATAAGAGTTCTGACATGGTATTCGTTAAGGCAGACCGCCCTTTGTAAACAGCATGTTTAAATTTTAGTTTATCGCATTAATATTATGTATATATATATATATGCATTTCATTTTAGACTCACCCCGGCATATAAAAAGGAGTTCCTTTAGGTCACGTTTCATTTGTGTACTGCATATTTATTCGATTTAATAAACTGGCATCATGCGTTAACCTTAGAGGGAATGCCTTATAGGGAATCCCACGTTATGAATAAACCATCTTTTGTCTCGGATATATAATCCAATAAGACTTGCACATTTATATTTTTGTACCATCCAAAGGGGTAGTACACAAGGTAAGGTAGAATCTGATCCCTTCCACAATGGCGACTTTGAGAATGATGGAACAGTTTTTGCACATTAGAATATGAGCCTCTAATAATCATTCTTTGCCCATTTTGTCAAGACTGGTAAAAATCCCTTGCACAAAGGACATTAAATTGAAGAAATTTACAAATAATTTCTCATTGTTAACATGATAAATATATCGAGACTAAATCTTGATTTTAGAAGGCTCATGGATTAATGCATTGCAACAAATTTCGTGAGTTTTGAAACTACAAATGGGAGAGCAATCTAGTCGATTTTTTAATAAACCGTCAATTTCATCCAATTCATTTTGATCAATTTATTCACTTTAGAGCAATTTAGTCAATTTTTGAATAAATCGTCAATTCTATCCAATCCATTTGACCAGTTTATTCACTTTTAGGACAATTCAACCAATTTTGAATAAATTCTAAATTTCATTCAATCTATTTGATCCGTTTATTCACTTTTAGGATAATTCAGTCAATTTTTAAATAAATCGTCAATTCTATCCATTTCATTTGACTAGTTTATTCACTTTTAGGACAAACCAACCAATTTTGAATAAATTTTCAATTTCATTCAATCCATTTGATCTGTTCATTCACTTTTAGGATAATTCAGCAAATTTTGAATAAATCATCAATTCCATCCAATTCGTTATTCTTTTTTAGGACAATTCAGACAATTTTTTAATAAATCGTCAATTCCATCCAATCCATTGGATCAGTTTTATTCACTTTCAGGATAATCCAGTCAATTTTTGAACAAATCAATTCCATTCGATTCATTTAACCCGTTTATTCTCTTTTAAAGTTTCGATCTATGGTTCACAAAAAAAAAAAAAACTAAACAAGACATTTCAATCCTTTCAAAAATAAGTTTTTCACACTAAATTGATTTTAATATCACTTTATATGTCAATCAAAGCATTCAACCCATTCGGACTTTGTCCTCATTTTGTTAAGACAAATTGTCTTTTGTCACTCTAATTAGCCAAAATTTTCAAAATTGTCTTTTATTTGAATTTCAATAAATTGATTGGATCCATCAGGTATTGCATGGTGTCTACTTCCGAGGATTGCATTTTTCATGTTAGACCAACTCTTGGCATAAAAGGGCTCCCCTGTAGGACATGCATACCGATTTTTCAGTTTCGCATACTAACTCTGGGTATTTTTCATTTATTTTTCCCCCTCCTCCACGTTTATAAAAGATGTTTCAATAGAAAAAAAACAAAAAAAATATTTTTCCTATATTTGATAATATTTTTGGTCTATAAATTTTGAAAATTACAAGTGTTATTTGATTTTTGGGCAGATCCTACAATATAAAAAAAATGAAATGAAAAATCCATCTGAAAATGCCAATCTAAAGCATTTCAAAAATCTTTCGATTTATTGTTTCTAATACATTTTTGTCTCAAAAGAAAGAAAGAGAAAGATTGTGTATATGTGAAAGTGGAGCTTTTTAGAGATTTTTTTTTCTCTTCTCATTTGTATAGCTGAAAAAAATGAAATTAAAATTAAACATTTGTAATAACAAAGTTTTCATTTAGACTATTCTTGTTTACAATTTTGTACATATTTATTTGTATTCGATTCTTTTTTTAACTCATATGGGGACTTCATGGTGGATCTCAAGAAATAAGACTAAGTTTAAATTCCCAATTTTTGTTATATCTTGCAAGAAATTCATATGTTTAGCTTTCTAAAGTTTTCACATGCGTGAGATTTGTGACCAGGCAATTCAAGGAGAGTGTCCAGAAATTGAAATCAAAAGGGATCACTTGAACTTGTTGGTTTGTCTCAAGAGACTAAGTATGATGGCTTTTTTATTTCATTTTTGCCATTCACATTTTGCCCGACTTCGTCAAGACTCAAAAATTAGTCGCCATGATTGACACACTTCGGAGTAGGGCATTTTTACTCTGGAAAGGTTCATTGTGTCTAATCAAACTCAATCCACATCTGAGTGAAAGCAAAAATGTACATTACTTCTTATTTGTTTTAAAAATTTGGAATGATACTTTAGCCTTTCGTTTCTCTATCTATACAGATTTTATCATTTGTTTTCTATTTGAGACTCTAAAAAAATAGAATTTCGTTTCAAATAAAAGCCTCAATGATCATGACACTACATGGAAAAATTTTCAAATGTCAAAAGCGGATGGATTCTCCCAACGGGCTATTCTTTACTTTGGTTGTCATGAGAAATAAGAATGATGATTTGGCCATCGTTTCTACCATCTAAACACTTTTTATCCTTTGTATTCTTATTTGAGCCTGAATTGGTGGTTCGTTCCAAAAGAACTTATGATCACACTCCCATACTAGGAAAGGAGATTTGAGAATTTTCAAAAATGCCAAAGATGCTCAAAATTTTGAAAGGGACGTCAAATAAAAAGTAAAAAAAAAAAAGAGAAAAACTACAAGTTGGAGGGAGTTTGATTCTATCATTGAATGATGCATACCGTTTTGTTTCTTGTTACTTCTTGCTGTCCTTCTCTTCCGTCAAACTCAAGCTGAAAAGACTTCTTAATAGTCTAGAATCCTAGACTATATGAACTTTTCTAATTTAACAGATTTCCTAATAAAAATAGTTTCCTCATAGTACTCAACTACTAAATAGAAAAAGGCAATAATTATTCCAGCATAGCTTCGGATTTGAAATCCACCATTCTTTGGAAACTGCCACCGTACACGTGAAATCCCGACTTCTCTAAACTTGTCAGTAATTCTTGAAAAATTACCCTTTTGATCACATTTTGTTCATTTTCCTATAATTGGCACCATTATACCAAATATAAGTAGAATCAATCAATTAATATAATATTTGGCTAGAATAAAATGAAAAATAATTTTAAATTAAATGACAATTTCGCACCCTATCAATTTCCTCAACACCTAAATCATGCTTGTCCTCAAGCATGAGAATAACAAATCAAACAATCAAATTCAAACAATAGCTATTGTTCAGATCTTCTATTGTCAAGATACAATTAAAACACATGTCCAGTATTAGCGATTAAGTTCCAAAAACTATCTCTTCAACCAACATTCATAAGCAAATGGTTCGACTATTAAGCAAAATGTCAACATTAAAATTCATGGATTAGTGGGCTAACAATTTATTCAAATACTTTCACATGTTTCACTATTAGCACATATATAAATATATTTTTCTAGTATATCCCCACACTTGAATCTTTTTTAAAGGGGAATACTTAGTCTTTAGCCATTTAAGCGTTTTGACGCGAACTCCGACATCTACCAAATGAAGGAGCCCAATTACTGAACTTTCATCGTTAAAGGACCATATACTCATAGTTATCGTCACTTTTTGACGCGAAAATCGATACTTGTGATGAAGACCTCCGGTTACTAGACAACAATACTAGCGGAGTATAACCGAATACTATTCATAAATAAGCACCAAATTAAAATTAAAAATCACACAAACGCACTATATTTCTTAAATATGGAGAACTAAGATTAATAGTTGAAGCAATTTGCATAAAAATAATGTTAGACAAATATTTACAATACGTAGAAAAGTTAACCAAAAAGTGCAAAGATCACAAAATCTCAAATATTCACCAAAAAGATACTCTTAGATTTAACCATGTCATACTTAACACCTTAGAGTGTAAAATCTTAGCAATAGAAAATTTTGAAACATCTAACCATCGTTTATCAAGAACAATCACAAATATGCACAAAGATAGGCAAAAATTGGATAAAATTCAACAAAGTCAAACAAAAAATTCTAACAAAAATGCCTACACTTGCACTTTTTTAATAAAATACCAATATATTACTCCCCCCACGCCTAAATCTTACATTGTCCCTGATATAAGAAATAAATAATAGAATATGAAATAAAAGGGACAACAAAACTTCTCTCAACACGTAATGGAGGGTCTCGAGCAGTTATGACATAGGTGAGATTGGTAGTGTAAAGCCAACATGTTGATCTTCACTGTTCCCAAACAAAAATCGGAGATGCCAACAGATAATGGAAATGGAGATGATCATGGGTGGTGGCTAGCGGTGGCAGCATGGTGTGGTAGCAATGGTGATGAGCAAAAATGGCGCAAGCAACAGAGTTTGAGGTCCTAAGGTTGTGGTCTTGCAACTAGAAAAGGAAAGAATGGAAGAAAAAGGAAAGGGAGAGAAGACGAAAAGAGAAAGAAAGAAGAAAGAAAGAGAAAGGAAGAAAGAAAAAGAAAGAGAAAGAAAATGGAAAAAGAAAAGTAAAAGGAAGAGAAAAGAAAAAAAAAATTTTAGCCACTGCGTTAGTCGTGGGCACGCCTAACTACTAGAAAGTTTTCTGACCGCAGACGAGAATTGCCTTCCTTATGCATGATCACTTGGCGAGAGAACGTCTAATTACTGAAGAGTCTTCTGCCTGCAGACGAAAATTGCCTTCCTTAGGCGTGACCATCTAGACGCGAGCATGCCCAACCACTAGCTTCCTGCCACAAAAGTTATAAATTACTAAATTCAGCTAACACTTAGCAAAAATTCTAGAAACATAGGAAAACTAAAACAAAGAGTCTTGGGTTGCCTCCCAAGCAGCGCCTTTTTTTAATGTCTTTGGCTAGACATTGCCCTGTTTATTCATGAAGGACAAAATCGTATAACTCATTTCAGTGCTTCATCTTTTATGTAGTCCTGATATCCCTCGTAAATAGAGTAATCCTTGAACACACAAGATACGGTCTTCCATGAATTAGTAGATGAAGTCAAACAAACAAGCAATGACCTTAATTCTTCATTCACTCCTCCATCATGAGCACTTATTGGTTCGAGATATTTTGCCAACATGACTCTTAACATATTTCTGTCATGAAACTCAAAATCTTTTGCTATAATAAAGTCAATCTCATTAACAGGAATTAAAGAACAAGAGTTAGGAGAATATTGATTAAGGAATGGAGGAGATGTCACCGCAATTGGAGATTGTTCACTGGATTCATCCACTTGAATAATTTGATATTGGGTTCCATTTCTTGCACTTCAATTCTCTTTTCAACTGCATCTTTATATTCTTCTTCGTGAAACTCGTGCAGTTCCATGTCACTTGTCAGGATAATTGTACTATCATCTTCTTTAAGGTCGGTGTTGGTCTGTGAGGGTAATTCGTCACACATTCAAGAAGTCAATTTCGTTATTCTAGATGTCAATTGATTCACTTGATCCGCCAGGCTACGAATGCTCCCTTGTGTGTCTCCTGATGAAAATCCATTATCTCATGATGAAATAGATGTGTGTTAGCAGGTATTGATTTTATCATTTTTTCAAGAGACATATCTGATATGGATGATGGCTGTTAAGACTCTTGCTGTTAAAAATTCATTGGCCCTTTTGCATAATTAAGATTGGAATTATCCCACCATTCTTGATCATACCCGTTTGAATAAGGGTCATACCACGTGTGATATTGAGGTGAAAAATCTCCAATAGTGTCGATTGGAACACTTAGATCATCTTAAGATGCGGGGTATATGTTGGTTAAATGATTTAAGCCAAAATAACTCCCACAATTTGCAACAACCAATTGATTATTAGAAAAAATATGAGTCTCATAACCCCTTCTAGAAATAAAATCTAGTCTATCACCAAAATATGGAAGGTTGGCGGCTATAAACTATATATAAAAAATAAGAGAAAAATAAAAAAATGAAAATAAGATGAATTAAAAAATAAACAAATTAATCAGGCACCAGTCCCCGGCAACGGCACCAAAAATTGACAGGTGCCAAGCCTGTACAATAATAATAATAATAAAATCAAACTACCACCAAAAGCAGTTAATAATCAATTCTAGGTATTAGATCAGGGACTCTAGATGTGTAATTGGTTACTTGATTTACCCTATTTTCGAAGAATTTGCTTAATCCGATATATCAGAATTAATTAACTGACAAAATTCACTAACAAGTAGACAATGGCAAGCAGAGTCGTCTCCTCAGGGGTTGGGAAAAAGTTCATTTCCTTTCGAGTCAAGACAAACGGGGGGATTTAGAATTAAATACTAATGAATTGCTAACTAAATAAATTAAATGCGAAAAAATATTTAATTGAAAGAAATAATTGGAAGAACTCTAGTCAAAGATACACTTCAGAAATGGTTCATGCAACTGATCATCGATTCAAATATAATTCTAACATTTATGTATAGATTAGTTACAGTTGTCATACACGTGATAAACAACTAGTCTTTCCTTTTTTTTTGATAGTTAAGGTATGACCATTAACTATTTCTCTCACCAGGAAACACGACCGTAGGATTTAATTTTTAGATTGTATTAAGAATTAAAAAAGCCCAATCCTAACTAACAAACGCACTACGAGGGTTTATTTAAGTTAGATCGTATGTTTTCCTGACATAAATCCGATTATGTTAGTTGCTACCGGGACAGAAGTAATCGAACAATTACGGATTCAACTACCCCTAATTAGTAAATAGATAACGTGAATAATCAAAATATTGCGCATCTATTCAATCATACACGATAGCTATAACTATTAAAAATAGAAAACATACAAATACCAATAAATGAAGGAAACATTTAAAATAATTTAGATCTCACAGTTATGGCCGAACCAAATCTTCAGTTGTCCCGTTGACTAGAAGTGGATGATTAGTTTATAATCCTTGGAGTAATCGCGTGCGAATTAAGTGTTTCCGTTATCATCAGAGACTCTCCAAAGAAAATAATGAACAATCATTTTTTTTAATTTTCCAAACGAAGGAAAACAAAATAATAGCCTATCGATTCGAGGCCGAAGCCATTTTGTTTCTTGTTACTTCTTGCCGTCTTTCTCTTCCGTCAAACTCAAGCTAAAAAGACTTCCTAATAGTCTAGAATCCTAGACTATATGAACTTTCCTAATCTAATAGATTTCCTAATAAAAATAGTTTCCTAATAGTACTCAACTACTAAATAGAAAAAGGCAATAATTATTTCAGCATAACTTCAGACTTGGAATCCACCATTCTTTGGAAACTGTCACCGTACGCGTGAAATCCCGACTTCTCTAGACTTGACAGTAATTCTTGAAAAATTACTCCTTTTATCACATTTTTGCTCATTTTCCTACAATTAGCACCATTATACCAAATATAATTAGAATCAATCAATTAATACAATATTTGGCTAGAATAAAACGGAAAATAATTATAAATTAAATGACAACTGCACACCCTATCATATTAGCAGTTTCCTTAATTTGCTTGATGGCACAAGACACATTCCACATTTCTAGCTAGACTGTATTGCCTCAATTGATCATTGGTTCTCAAATTCCCCTTGCAAAGTAATAGAATTAGGTACAGAAGCAAATTAATATTGCGTACAATTCTTCTGCCACACCACAGCATCTGAGTGCTTCGTCAATAGGGCTCCTTTGGGTGCCAATTATCAAGCCAAACAAATTATCCCTTTTGTTTCCAAGATGCACCTTATTCTACATTCTAACAATTGATCTTTTTTATAATATATTCCTCCATATCCATCCATAGTCATTTGAAATTAGCCAATCGTGGAGGCACTGTCGGGGCATTGAGGATGGGGCAAGGGGCTGGGGATAACGGAAGCGGGGGATGGGGCAAAAGCGGGAAAGATTTAGAACACGATGGGAGACAAGGGAGGATTTCTTTATCCCAAATTTGCCATTTTTAGTTATTATTTTTTTCTTTGCACTTTATACCGATATTTTCACCCGTAAAACAACCAATAAAATAAAAAATATTTTAAAATAAACTTGCAAATTCCAAACAATTATTTGAAAATTTGTAAAGCATTCTCTATGAGACCCAAAAATTACTTAAAACATGAATACCTAGATTATCTCCGTAAAGCATTAAACTACTATATTTTTTCTATTGGAACTGAGTAATTAAAGGATCGAAAAGTATAGAACTAATCTGTTTAAAGGATGGATTACAGACAGTTGACCAAGTGCTAGTTGAACATTTTGACATTCAAAAATCAAAACTCTTCTAAGATAGTTGTTTTTCTTTCTATCTTTGTTTTTTTAACACCCACATGGCGTTTTCCATACCGATGTGGATTTCTAACAGCTCCCGAATCAATCGTCCTTATCCTTGTTATCTTCTTAGATTTATCTACATATAGCAAGTGATTATATCTCAAGATCCAAATCATTCATCTATTCTCAGAAGTCAAAACTCCAAACTTCAAAACTATACTACAGTTCACAATGAAGAAAACCCTTTTCTTTCTTTTATTTCTTTTTTTAACTATTGTCTCTTGTCAGCAGCTGAAGCACCTGATCCCGTGCTCGACATCGATGGAAAGAAGCTCAGGGCAGGCGTGGACTACTACATTTTACCAATCATCCGTGGCCGAGGCGGCGGCCTTACTCTTGCCAGCCCGACGGGGGATACTTGCCCTCTCAGCGTGATTCAGGAGCAATTGGAAGTCAAACATGGCCTCCCGTTGATTTTCACACCAGTCAACCCTAAAAAAGATGTTGTTCGTGTTTCCACTGATTTAAACATCAAGTTTTCAGCTTCAACAATTTGTGTTGAGTCAACTGTGTGGAAGTTTGAGTATGATGAAATATTAGGGCAATACTTCATATATGATGGTGCAGTTGAGGGAAACCCTGGTCGTGAAACTGTAGACAATTGGTTTAAGATTGAAAATTTTGATGATAAAGACTATAAGCTTGTTTTTTGTCCCACGGTTTGCAAATTCTGCAAGGTGATATGCAAGGATGTTGGCATTTTTGTTCAAGGTGGAACTAGACGTCTTGCTTTGAGTGATGTACCACTCAGGATTATGTTCAAGAAAGCTTGAAAAACGAAGATGTGTCGTTAACTTGTTATTGTAATTTTATCCTTGACTTTTTTCTTCTCCCTTTTCATGTGAAGGCATGACATAATAAGGAAGCATGTATGATTTATATTTGTCTAGTGAATAATACTATATCATTTGGTCATATAGAAGCCTTCATCTTGGTGATCCCTTCCTTTTGGGCTTTTTGGATTCAAATCCCTATTGGAGAAATTACTTATTTTCAACTTCCCCTCAATTCATTTCATCAACTGTTTGAGCCACCATAATTACAAGGAATGTAATTAATGTGACGCCCCCACATCTTCCTAAGGCGAACCAAAGGGTATCCGCGGAACGCCTGCCCACCTCCCGTCAGGACTCAAGCAATTCCATTCAACTTAAAACCAAACCGAACATTTCGAAGAGAGCAACATGAATACAAATAATGCGGAAGCGTTCAAACTTAACAAGTCACTTAACATGTAACCAGTACATCGGGTAATCATAATACGACTTAAATTCTAAATACACGTCAGGGCCCAAATTTTTACATTTCAATTTCAAAAGTACAACCCAAACCAGGGCATAGCCAAAATATAGTAGAAATCCTAAACAAAAGAACAACGAAGGGTTTCTCCATACTTCTCCGAGATTCGGTCCTGTTAAGGAAAACAAAACTATAGGGTGAGCTAAACGCTCGTGAGGCCAAGAACACACATGCAAGCACATTGTTCAAATAGCAATTCCAAATTCATTACATAAAACCGTGATATTTCAATAAGCAACCATTCGAGCAAGAAAAATAATCAGAAACAATTCAAGGATATAGTAGCTCTCAGGAGCTAAGTTCCACTCGCTCTGCCGATGCCATTCGTATACCTTCCCGTGATGACCCTCCGTCAACCGGATCGGTATTTCCATTTCCGTAGATCACCACTTACTTCCCTCCATCCACCGTACACCTCTAGGGCCCACAAGTCATTTATAAGGCGATACTCCACGAGTATACCAATCAAGACCTCTCATTAGGTCGAACTTATATATCTCATGGCTCGCCCAAGTTCCCGACCAAGCCCATTGCCGGCTCAAGTCCAAGGTCGGCCTATGAGTTTGGGCGTCCCCCATTCATTTGAAAGTCGAGGAGATTCACTCCAACGACGTATGTAGTTATAACATACCATTGCATTTCATTCATTCATTTGTTATATTTCATTCATTCATTCCATATATTTTTTCATTCATTCGAAATTAGAACGAGTGTGATAAAGTACACACCCGTCTTCATTTTTAAAATCTCCAACAATTACAACAAATAAGCAGGTACCAAGGATTCACACACTTGACACTCACCGAACAATTCAATAAGAATTATTTTCTGGAAGTTCAAGTGTCCACTGTAAGATCCTCTTGAAGGTCTCCTTGTGCGCCTGACAATTAATAGTGGATAATCACTCAAATATCCCAATTATCAAGGAAGATTGTACACTAGTACATTCTAAAGAATATTTTAAAAAAATGAACCTCAATTTGGTTCGGCTAACTCACAAAGAATCAGAACGTGCATTTTATCTCAAATTAACGCCTGGAATGTCTAGTTTCCAACGCCACCGACGGCACATGATTTCGACATCCGAGAACGGAGTTATGGCCGAAACACCACCGCTGGTCAGAGCCATACGTGAACAGTTTCCAGATTTGCTAGTTTCACAAAAAAAATTCATTTGCCCAACCAAACCTCATTATTTTTCAATGAAATTTTTCACACATCTAATACGTCATATAAACATCAGATTCAAGCCATTAGATCATTAAAAATTGGCCTTAAAATGGCCGAACAAGGCAGGGGCAAAATCGGAAACTTTTGCTTCTTGCACCCAATGAAATTTCTATCAATTACACACCATTAATCCATCATTTTAACCACTAAACCAACAATATATCCACCATCAATCATCAAATCAGCAACAACCCAAGAGTGGGAGTTCATAGAGCCCACTTTCACATTTTTCTAACAATATCAAGTCATCAACTTTCATGCAAGTACTTAGAGATGCATATCTACTACTATAAATCAAGTTTAAGGTGATGGATCATGTTATACCTCCTTAGTGCTTTAGATCAGAAATTTTCGGTCCTTAAGAGTCTCCAAGAAATCGTGAAATGCAGCCCTTTGGTTAGTTAGATCCAATCTCCAAGTAGTTTGCTAGTTGCTCTACAAGTTTGGTGAAGATTGGTTGGAGTTTTGTGGTTGATTTGGTGAAAATTTTTTTGAAACAATGGAGTTAGAGAGGGAGAGAGGGCTGGTCGGCAATCTTGAGAAGGAAGAGAGAGAGAGAGAGTGATTAGATTTTTAAGCATCCAAGAGAAGATACTAACTTGTGGCCACAAATCACCCATTAGTCAACTCACATTAGGGGGCGTTTGGCGCGATTAGGGCTCGATTTCTCACGCGTTTGGTTCACTAGTGCACTAAACCTCTAATGCACTTATTTTCATGTAAATATTATTCACTCTTAATTGTCCTAAAATAAGGGTCTAAAGTCCCTCAAATAAAGTCGCGCGTGTGAAAACGCGTACCGTCAATTTTAACGCTATAACGCGAAACCTCCGAGAAATTCTTATAACGATTGTACTACTAACTATCACTTGAGTATTTATTCATAAGATTACCTATTTTAGGACCATAGTACAAGTCTCCAATATTTCAAACTTATTGTGCTCCCACGCGGTAAAATCTCCGAGTACTATTCACTATTTTTACTAAACGCACTCCAGAAAATTAATTTTTGAGACGAGTCACTTTTAAAATATAACGAAATTATATTATCATGTATTTAGGTCTAATAAGACTAGAAAATATTTCTCATGGTAAAAATCCAATTAAATAATTTATTAAGCCATAAGTTAGGCTTAAAAATAATAGTTTTTACGAGTCCTCACATCCTCTCCCCCTTAAGAAAATTTCGTTTTCCAAATTTACCTTGGTTGATGAACAAGTCTGGATACTTCTCTCTGATTGTCTCTTCAAATTCCCATGCTGCTTCCTCTACTCCGTGGTTCTTCCATAGAACTTTCACTAGTGGTATCTGCTTGTTCCTCAATTCTTTCATCTTTCGATCCAGAAGTTTTACCGGTCTCTCCTCATAGGTCAGGGTTTCATCGATCTCAACACTCTCCGGTTGTAAAACATGAGAATGGTCTGGATGATACTTCTTAAGTATGGACACATGGAACACGTTATGAATTCGAGATAAGCTCGGCGGTAATTCTATCTTATAGGCTAAATTCCCAACTCGTTGAATAATTTTATAAGGCCCTACAAACCTTGGTTGTAGTTTCTTCCCTTTTCCGGACACCAAGCTTGCTTTTAAAGGCGTAATCTTGAGAAATACCATATCTCCAATAGTGAACTCCAAATCCTTTCTCTGATTGTCGACATAACTTTTTTTGTCTACTTTGAGCGGTTTGAATCCTTTGCCGTACCAACTTTACCTTTTCATTAGCTTCCTCAATCCAAGATACGGTAGTCGGGTTTTCGTTCACCTATTTCATCCCAACAAATTGGGGATCTACACTTCCGACCATAAAGTGCTTCATATGGGGCCATTTGAATAGAAGAGTGGAAACTATTGTTATAGGCAAATTCCACTAAAGTCAAAAACTTACTCCAATTCTCTCCAAAATCCAGTACACAAGTCCTTAACATGTCCTCAAGGGTCTGAATTGTTCTTTCAGATTGTCCATCAGTCTGAGGATGATAGGTGGTACTAAAGTTTAATTTAGTCCCCAACACTTCTTGCATCTTTTGCCAAAATCTCGAAACAAATCTTGGATCCCTATCTGACATAATACTCACAGGTATACCATGTAGTCAAATGATCTCATCCAAGTACAATCTGGCCAGCTTCTCTAACGGGTATTTCACGTTAATCGGTAGAAAATGAGCCGATTTAGTCAATCTATCCACTATCACCCAAATGGTATCATGGCCTCTCTGTGTTCTTGGTAAGTCTGATACAAAATCCATGGTAATATTTTCTCATTTCCACTCAGATATTTCTAGAGGTTGTAAAAGTCCTGATGGTCTTTGATGCTCGGCTTTAACCTGTTGACAAACCAAGCATGTCTGAACAAATTGGACAATTTCCTTCTTCATTTTCTCCCACCAATATAGACTTTTCAAGTTTTGGTACATTTTATTCCCTCCAGGGTGTACCGTAAACTTCGATCGGTGTGCTTCCTCCAAAACTTCCTTCTTAAGTGTTTCGTCCTTTGGTACTACTATCCGATTTCGAAATCTCAATATTCCATCTGTTCCCAAATTGAAATCCGTCTTGTCTCCCATCTTAGCTTTCTCCACCAGCTTTTGCACTTCAGGGTCCTTTTCCTGAGATTCCTTAATGCGTTCCAATAAAGTGGAGGTTATTACAATATTTTCCAAAATTACTTTCATTGGTTCTAATCGAGGATTCCAATAGCTAACTTCCTCCAACAATTGAAATTCCTTAATCATCAATCCAGCCATTTGTACCTGACGGCTCAAAGCATCGGCCATTACATTGGCCTTTCCAGGATGGTACTTAATCGTACAATCATAATCTTCCAGAAATTCCATCCATCTACGTTGCCTCAAATTCAGCTCCTTTTGAGAAAATAAGTATTTAAACCTTTGTGATCTGTAAAAACCTCAAATGTTACTCCGTACAAATAGTGTTTCCATTTCTTCAAAGCAAAGACCACAGCCGCTAACTCCAAATCATGAGTCGGATAATTTCCTTCATGCGGTTTCAATTTTCTAGAGGCATATGCTATCACTATATCATTTTGCATCAAAACACATCCCAAACCTCCCTTAGAAGCATCTGTGTAAACCACAAAACTATCCTTTCCGTTTGACAAACCTAACACAGGCGCTCTTGTCAATCGTCTTTTCAATTCCTGAAAACTTTCTTCACACTTAGGACTCCATATAAAATTTTCATTTTTCTTGGTCAACTCAGTCATAGGCCCAGCAATTTTCG